TTGCAGAGAAAACGACAGCCTGAAGGATTGCTATGAAGACCAGAAGACCTCGTGCCTCAAACATGTCATGCGCAATTGGGATTGAATTCTTCCCGGGTGACGCGCGTAGGAATCGACCGGTGGCACATGTCTCGTGTGGCGTGTCGTGTGGTCTACGGTGACGAGGTATCAGCTGTGCCAACACTTCATTTAGTCGGGATTTGACACCAGAACTCATTTGCTCTTGTGCTCGGCACCAGAGTGCATCACTTGGAGATCAAGATGGGATGATCTCGTATTATGTATAGCCTTGTAACACATTATTTCCTATTTTTATAAGTTAGCATTTGAAAAGAAAACGGATATATTTCTTCTTGAAATGCTTCCACTCAGACGGTAAGGCCTCCCCATAAACTGCTGCAAATTTAGCTGTACTTGATAACAGAGAGCAATATTACATGATATTGATAGGAGGAAAAGTATGGAGTAGCAAAGTGCCGTCGTATAAACCCATGGGTTGATAGACGGTCCTGACGTCGATGATGAGTTACCGAAGAGGGAGTTAGAGCTTGGCGTGTCCAATCATCTGGTTTCGGATCGGTGGTCATGATAAGACAGGAAAATTGCAGCAGTCACCTTCCCAGGTGTTATGTTACTCAAGGAGCAGAAATGCGTTTCTAGCACTAACCAAGCGAATTTTCCGGTCAAGCGACTAAGATTAGTCAAAACGGATCGACAACCCTTAGTCTCTTCAAGCTAAAAGGTAGTACACAGCTGACTACATTTTCACTTGTCAGAGAGGGTATTTTTCAGTGATATAGTTTGGTTTTATTGGTAGCTCTCGATGATGGTTGACAATGGAGACATTACTTATCTTAATGTGACCTTGACTCGTCGTAGTGTGGTGCGGTGGGGTTTTACTACTTTATGACCCCAAGTTTTCACTGATCAAAATTCGTGAAAAATGCCTCATTTCTATAATTACAGGTCTAGTTTATCACAAAAAAATATTTCCCCAGTAATAGCTCGCAGACCCAGAATGCATTATAATCACTGGAGCATAAGATCCACTTTTGCAGTTTAAAAGACCTTTTCTGCTAAAAAATAGCTCAATTCACTGCAGTAGTTTTCATATTTGGACCCGTTTCTAGCTACCAGCAAATTAGTCCTGCCTGGCGAATCTCACCTCATTGACGATCAGAGTGTGGTAATGTAGATCCAGATGAGCAGCTTTTCCCTGATTAGGTGGATTTATTACTCGAATATCGTGCCGTACCTATCCAACTAGCATCACGGACAGATAGTCACGAATAGTCAGGGATCAAAAATTTGCGTTCCATATGAAGCAACCTTTCTCAACACAAGGTGTTTATCAAAGCTAACAAGCGCAGAGCCATCGGTAGGAGTCGCGCACATCTTCATTCAAACGTAAATATTGAGGGCCTTGTAACGAAAATTCTTCACCCTGTGATTTGTGCCAATTCTTTGCGAATGAGCAAAACAATTTCCTCCTCAGTAAGAAAAAACTGATAGACATCTCTGGAATGTTTGTTTTATTGTACTTTCTCCTTACAAATATTTTATCTAGTCGAATGGAAGCAAATTTAAAAAAACCTTGCAGTGTGAAGG